ACATACCCCCACCCGAAGCCCTCCACATAACCGGCTATAGCGGGTCCGACGGCAGCCCCTATAGAGCCGGTGCCGTCTATAATGGCCGAAACGGTGGCCAAAGCGCTCTTCGACTTGATATTGATGGCCAGATCTGCGGATACGGCTGTTGTGATGAGATTGTAGGGCCCGTTCACAAACAGACCCGCTATGAATTGCAGACATTCATTGGATACCATCGATACGGATCCCCAATAGTAGTAAAACAATAACTGTTTAATTAAAATTCAATACTAAATAATTGTTGTCTGTATTTAGCGATGCATTTGAAGTACTGACCGAAGGAATGGTGAGAATTATGAATACAATACATGTGATGGCACTGGCGTTAGTAATGTCTGCCATATAACCGGCGAGTATCGCACCGACTGTACCCCCGATGTCAAACGATATGGACAGGTATGCAGATTGTGATGGAGACACTTTGACTGCGAGTAAATAACATAGATTAGTAATGAGATAAATAATGGACGAATGGTAAAACAAACTCGAATTATTGATATATAGGGGTAACCAATACATGAAGGTATAAGTGACCAGTTTTGAAAAGAATAAACAGACCGAGTACTCAATCACTCCCTGTATATGTGATAAAAGCATATTTTCAATTAATTGTGTTTATAGTTAAAAAGTTGTCACAAACCGGTAGCAAAAGGGCGCCGAAGAATGAAATGGCCGTATTGTCCATATTATCATCAATTTTGACAATTTCTTCGCCATTAGTATTATTGGATTCAATATTGTGGGAGTCGTTGGCATCAGCCGAGAGGCCAACGTCTTGTGGACCTTTAAGGGAAGTTTAGTTTCACATAATTTAGTGAACAATATATGAAAACACACAAAGAATTGGTCACAAAAATGTCTTACAAGGAATCAAGAAGAGAAAACATACAACGGCTACAGCGATGGCTATAATACCGGGCACTATAAATGATAGGCCCCAATTGTACTCGACAAACGCGCCTGGCGGTTTAATTCAATTAATAAACGAGTTAAATATGATTTTAATAACTGGCAAAACATTGAAACCTGCGATAAGAGCGCCGAGAATATTGCCGAGAGTGGTGTGAAAGCCCCAAATGCCAAATAGGAGTCCTTTCTTGGAGTCGCCGAACCAATTGCCGACAGCAGTGACCACCGCTGGCCACGCGCTGGTCTGCACAATACCAGTGATCACTTGGACTATAATGAAGTAGTAATAGGCGTGGATTTGTAGCGAAAAGGGAAGTCCGGCCAGAATTGACAAAACGCCGCACAGAGCGAGACTAATGGCCAGAAACCATCGCAGGTTAGACCTCTCGGCCACATAACCGGACACAAACATAAACACCGCATACGAGGCCAAGAAGCTGGTGTCCAGCCATCCGAGTAACTGATCCGCATTTTTTGTGTCAAATGGTGACCAATCGCACCAATTAGGGTCCAAATTGGACACGTCTAGCCGTTTGACCGACGATTCCGTGCAGTTCTTTGAATGCAATTGAGATTTAACTATAGAAATGGGTTTTCGGGCCAAATGTGCCGCACAGTAGACCATGAATGTCATCACCAATACTAGCATTTGATAACATTTTAGTTTATTTAATCTGAATTTATTACTTATATATTCTGTTAACACATATCCGAGCGATAACTTCATTATAAATATTTATATTTCTCTATTATTGTTATTAATATAACATAATTTTATACAATGTAGTTTATTTAATTAATCCAACACTTAATAAGTATTAAATGTATATCATATTAATGTCTTTATATGTCATTAAGAATTTGATTTATTTTCTTTGTTATATTGAGATAAAATTGTTTTTGGATTAAGTATTAACTAATGATTAGATTTGTTAACGTATTTTCAGGTTATTCTTAATTAATAAACGATAAAATTAAATGTTAAGAATAGGAGGGACTCTAAGATACTGTAATAATCAAATACATCCAAATCTAGGTACTGTATTAACTTATTACAGTTACTATTATTAAACATTAATACATAAACTGTTACTAACGAGTAAGGTTGTTATTAAATTGATAAAAATTAATGAAAATCAACAAAGTTTTAATACATTTAATCAATTAAAATATTAATCAAGATTAAGAATGTTTACTATTTAATACTATTTGAAAGGTTATTAAAATATCAATTAAAAGAACTGTTATAATATTTCACCTTAATTTACAGCTAATTGTACAAATCATGGCTTAATTTGCTCTCATATAAAAAATACAAAATATTTCAGTTAATTATTTGGCGTCGACTTTGTCTTCGCGACGGATGTGGTCCTCAAGTGATGGGGCAATGATTGGACGCTGACCTCAATCACACCCTTCGGTGATGTGATCTCTTCGAGTCTAATGAGTGATAATTTATATTGAAATTCTGTCAGTGCTCTCAATCGGCACGAGTTTTGGTGCCTTTCCTTATAGTCTTTGGCGTTGAAGTCCGGACGCAACAGGAATTGTGTCCAAAATTCCTGTGAAGTGACTCTAATGGACAGAAACTTGCGGTAAGTGTAGACCAAACTCTTGATCACTTCATGTCCGACCTCTTTGTGTGCGATTAGAAATTTGACCAATTCTTCGATGTCTTCGTTAGTCAACAGATCCATGCCATCGACGTCTGTGGGAGTGTAGACCTGACCGTCAATAAGTCTTTGAATGAGTATTTGTTGGTTTGTCTGTCGGTCGCCGAGAGTCAGTTCACTTGAGCCCAGAGTCGAGACACAATTGCCCGATGAACTGGTCGTTTCATATACTAAATCGGTGTTTACTTTATTATTCATTTCATTTGATCTTTAAGTTATAATTTATTCACAAAATTAAATACAAATTTATAAAAACGCAAATTAATCGATGATTATTATGGAAAACCAATTTCACAAAAAATTGTAAATATCTGTAAAGTCTGTGATAAGGGTCTGAAAGTCAATGTTTTGTGAGATATCTTATCGTTTTATTTTAGAGTACAATTAATTCAAGGATATATTGTTTGACTATTACTTTGTATGTAAATTATTATAGTAATAGTAATTAGAAAATATAAATTACGCTTGTTTATATTGTAATAAATCGTTTAACTTGAATTTAAATTAAACAATGTGAATAAATATAACTGGCGTATATAAATAGTATTGATGAATAGTAAATTATACATTTTTTTAAATAGTTAGACAGCTATGAATTCTTCCCTGATGAATGTTTTTTGGATCAATTTTTGTGTAATTATTGTTTTAGTTTGAAACTATTATTTACATAAATATATTACAGTAAATTTTTTATTCATTAAATTAAATTTTATTATTTGATAAATAAATGATATCTTTTAAATTGATAATATATACATAAAATAGATGATAGAATTATCTACAGTATAAATTGTATTCAATTATTAAAATTGCAAGATATTATAAAAATGATTATAAAATGTTAAGTTATTTGAGTACAACTTTAATACAAATAATATAATGTAGTTGTAATACTGCTTTAGGTACAGAATACTTTGCTTATACAATAAAATGTAAGTGACGTTAGAATAAATATTAATAAAATATAGGAATAGTTGAATGATTTGATAAACAATAAGTAAAGTATATACAAATAAATTAATATTACAAAATTTATAGCATGTACATTTTATGAGCGAAAATATAATTACAAATGAGTTACAAAATTTACACCATATATACAACCGTATAAATCAAACTAATAAGTTGTGACTGAAATAATTTCCTGATTTGCGGAATTATTTCTCGACTTTTTTGTCCTCCAAATGAATATCAATCGTTTGCAATCATTGAATCCAATCCTTAATATCGACAACAAAGCGCACAAATCGGCGATCATTACCACAATAAACACATACTCCCATCCAATCTCAGACACAACGCCTGCCAATGAGGGTCCGATCGCTGAACCGATACTACCGGTGGCGTCAATGATGGCCGAGACGGTGGCCATCGCCGACTTTGAGGGCACTTTTGAGCCCAATTCGGCCGACACTGCGGTCGTGATGAGAGCGTACGGCGCGTTCACAAATATACCGGCTATGAATTGCAGCGCTTCGTTCATTGCCATCGATTGGTTACCAAATAGATAATAAATTCCCAACTATAAGATTAAAATTACAAAACATAAGATTAAAATGTTAATTATTACTATTATAACATTGCTTACGGATGGGATGGCAAATATCAGCATAACGATACACGACAGAGCGCTGGCACCCGTCTTATCGGCCAGATAACCGGCCGAAATGCCCCCAATAATGCCTCCCAAGTCGAAGAATATAGTCATATATGCAGATTGAGAACTGGATATACCGGGGTTTGTCTGCGATATATATAATGGTAACCAATCGAGGAATGTATAGCTGACCAGTTTGGCGAAGAATAGACAAATCGAGAATTCAATGACTCCCTTTGAAAACAAATGCAAAATTAGTTTCTATATTCAGATAAATCTATAATAAGTTATTATTAATAACTTATACATAAAAGTCAAATTCATAGATAAGATGTGTTTTTATTTATTTACCGATATCTTGAGCGCATCGATAATACTGATGGCATTGTTATGTGCGGTTTCGTCGCTCATTTGGATTTGCTTTTTATTCATATCGTTATCCTTAACAGGAGTTTGTTCTGTATGTGTGTCTAAACTCAAACTCAAACTGACTTCTTCTGGTTCTGTAATCAA